TAATAGATACATCCCAAATACACCTCCAAAAACAAGTGATTAAGTTATGGCCTCTCCCCTTTTACTGTGTAACAGAAATACACCCCACTGACTGCTACACGCTGTTTCCTTGTGAACATTATGTCACATTAGTCTGAACATATAATTTAAAGCTACAAAATAGACAACTATTAGTATTATGGGAATAGTATCGACATGATTTCCTTAAAACTATATTTAGCGGTTTATAGTCTATAGTATGCAGCAAAGGAGCCTCATCATTGATAACAATAATACTATTTTTATTAGCATTAGGTTACATATTGTATGTCATCAATCACATGAATGTTATTATAACAGGCCTGGACTTCCTCTAGCTTGTGGTTAGCCATTCAAGTGAACATTGTTGTCTTTTTACAGGAAAGGTTTTCTCTTCATTAAGTCTTCTTTCTTTATTGAAATAGCTACACCTTAAGTTACCTAATTCTCTCATTGTCCTCCATACTATAGTACAAGATGATTGATGTCTCTCAATGGAGAGCAAGTATTGGACTGTGGAACTACTGTCAAGCTGCCTCCAGTAAACCAGCTAATGGCTGCCACTCTGACTCATTCAAAGCTGCAGTAGACAGCAAGTCAGGCAGTACTACATCAGGAGAGTTGATATCCAAACTGCCAGCAGCTCTGTCTCTTATTGTTTCTCTTCCTTTATTAAGATATATGAAGCTCAATTTCAATTTTATTTCTCCAACTGGTAAACAAACTAACAGTATATAATATTATCATACAGTGTATTTACAATAGGTATAATTACTGTTACTGTTATGATCCACTGCCTCCAGTCATTAGTCTTGTTTATAGCTACTATTGGCAGTAGCTCTGACCTGATCTACTATTTGGTTTTGCTTCTCCTCCTCTTATCAGGAGATGTTGAACTCAATCCTGGTCCTATGATTGATGATCAACCATCTTGTCCTTTATTTGCAAAGTACCTTGAACCCCTTGTTGATTGGGAGCCATTTGCTCTTTGTCTTCCTGGTGGGATAACACAACTTGATGTTGATATAATTAAAATAAAAGGAAGCTCTTACCTCAGGATGGAGGCATTACATAAGAGATGGTTACAAGTTAATCCTACAGCATCATGGAGAGATGTCATTAATGCTTTGAAACAATGTAAAGAGAATGAACTAGCTAGAACTATTGAAGACAAAGTGACAGATCCCACAGCTGGAAGAAGTACTAATGAAGTGAGTAC